AAGTAAGTCTTGTTTCGTCAAAAAAAGAAAAAAAAGCAAAAAATAACGCAAACAGTCGATAAATATTATTATTGTAATTATTAATTAATATAATAAATTAATTACGCATCAGCATTATTAGCGATAGTTAGATTTTAAGTCTGTATTTTGTTAACAAAAAATTAATGAATCGCGAAAAGTCGAAAAACTATTATTGCAAGCAACTTGAAAAAAAAGTCACTAACTTTGAATTTTCTATTCGAAATGAAACCGAAAACGGTATATTTTTGGCTGAAAACATCTCATTAGAAAAAAAAAGTCACTAACAATTTCTTTTTTTAACACTGAAAAAAGAATAAAGACTAAGAAGAAATAGACAAAAATGTCATTTAATTAATTTTCATCTTAGAAAACATCTTTCTTTACTTTATGCTACTTGTAAAATCACCGTGTCTGTTCCGTACACATCTCGACTCAACCGATTTTCTCTGCCGGTTCTTTGATTTTATTTTTGTCCCTTTTTTTTTTTATTTCCACTTGGCAAATGATACTACCACACTAGCCAAAACCACTAACCATCCAATTTACCTTCTGACAGACACTTAAAAAAAAAAAAAGGGGGGGAAAAAAACGTTAATAGATTTATTTACACAATCTTTATTCTTTATATCACCCCGTGGATTTTTCTTGCTCCCAAACTGTCACACTACTACGACTACTACAACAATTCAACCCCCGCCTCCACCACGGCTATAACAACTTTGTTTGAAATTAACCATAAAATACCTTACTTGACTTCACTTGCTTTTCCAATTGCATAGAAAAAGCAAAACAAATACCCGAAGAATTACTTACTGCAACATTTGTAATGTTTCGTCTGTAAGAAAAGGATCTTTTTATTTTTACTCACCACAAAATTGATTTCTACAGGAAAATTGCGGAGCTCACAAGACATACATGAACTTTTTTATGCATTGCACATTATTTAACAAATTTGTTTTAAATCTCAAAAAGGAGAGAGGAGAAAAATACAATTACCGACAAGGAATTACTCAAATATTGTTCATTGATTCTTTTATTTCGTACTGTAAGTATATTTTACTTTTTGTTGTTGATTGATTGAATCTGAAACAATTCCGTTTTGAACGGAAAAAAAAGTGCTTATTTATATTTTTTGGCATTTTCAATATCTGGAAAGAAATTGAAAGATCAATCCGAAAAAAGTATGATGAATTATTGAACTCTAAAAGATACCAGACACAAAATTAAAAAAAAAAAAACAATAAATTTTTCTGGGTGTTTTTAATTCAAATAATTTCCAATTGAAAATTCCCTGTTTAAAAAAAATAGCGAAATTTGAAAAATACTGTACACACAGCATCAGAAAAATATTTTTTCAAGTTCTCTAACTGGAATAGTATTCTTAAAATTTTTAAGCATGAAAATTTTCCGTAGAAATGTAATTCCTTTAAAAGTGAAACAGACATTCTTCAACTTTTATCATTATTGATTACAATGACATTTAATCAAATGCCTTGATCCAAACCCACATCACGCACAACTTGAAAAAAAAAACCAAGATAGGTAAAAATTACAGTCACACACGCATTCCCCTGAATAAACCCAAGTGTGAGTCCTTCTTTCATTCTCTCTTTCTCTCTCGCTATTAATTGAAGGAATCATTAAAATTATTCACCAAAACCTGCAGTGTCTAATAAAAAAATAAAAAAACAGACACTTCCTGATTTTATCACTTTTTTTTAGTGATTTTTAGTCTATTCCAGAGCCAGAGAAATTTAACTTTTAAAAAGAGTTTTAAAAACTTTGTATTCTTCCACTCAGCCATCATTTTTCTTTCTTGTATTTCTCAGACTCATTCTTGTATATATTTATTTATATATTTAAAAGAAAGAAAAGAAAAAGGATTCTTGGCACACCTTACGGAAAATTACCGGTTTACTTACTACCACTGCTTCAGCTATTCGTGTGTTGACTACAACAGAAGGAGACTCATTGAGATTTTCTTACTCTGCTCAGCAGCGGCAAGGTGCTCGAATCGCCCAGACGAAGGAAGAGCAGGAGGTGGGAAGGCCCTAGCAGTCGAGTAAATGTATTTTAGTTATGGACCTAAACCATGGAAATGAAGAAGGGAAGATCTTCCGTCAGCTACAGTTATTATCCCTAAACACATCAGCTACCAGATATAACGGCTACTATTACTGTTCAATCTTTCCGGGTGATGACGATGATTGTTATTATTATCTCTGCCTTTTCTGAAGGGTACTTATATGAGGTTTTCAGGGCAAACTGACGCAACAATATCAAAGAACGAACGGTGATACACGCACACAAATAAAAACGCGTGCCCGCGCGCGGCTAGTCATAGCTATCGTGACGGGTAAGCGTGGTTATTGCAGATCATCTCTATTGTCATTCCCTGTCGATGATTTTTCTCTCTGTAATATCGACCACGTTCTTATCTTCATAAGTTGCAGGCCTGGCTGTTCCTCTCTCGTGTCTGCAGAAGAACCTGTGCTGGAACGGAAATCTTGAAGTGTTTTTTTTCGATCTCGCTCTTTTTTCTTTTTGTTTTTTTTTTCCAACCAGAATTAACAACACTAACAGTGAAAAAATGTAAAGCAGCTGAGATTATTTTATCTCTTTTCTAATTTATTTTATTTATCTCTATCTTGATTTATTTCAATCTATTGGGATGATTTACACATTTATATACTGGTGACTTGGATGACTTAAACCAAAAAAGATAAAAAAAAAAAAAAAAACTTTACAGAAATGACTGATAAAAAACTTAGATTATTATTTAAAAATTTGTATAAAATGATTGACCTTATTTTCTTTTATACAGAATTAAATTAATTTTTTTTTCAACGGATCATGTGAAGTTTTTAAGAAAATCTGAAATTTTAATAAATGATCGTGACAAATGTGAAAAATTCTGAATTTCCCTAATTATAAACTTACTAGAAGATATGGCTGTGTATCAAGTTGAAACCTTTAATATTTCTTTAACTTTGGAATACTGAAATTATGTACAGGTTGAAAATCTCAAAACAACCTGTAAAATGGATTCTACCACTGCAGCTACAACGATTGCTCTCAAGGATTTGTCCTTATTATCATCACCAGGTAAAACTCTTGTTCAGTCAAAAGAGAAATTGTTGAACATGAATTCTAATCCTCACCGTTCCAGTCAGCTTCCTCGAAGCAGACCCACTACAGCTGACCCAGGTAGTAAGACAACAATGTCATCTACTAAGCAGACTGCACAGAGAGTGAGCAGGGAAGCCAGTAAACTTCCAAGCAAATATATCGGTAAAAAGAATACTTCCACTGATCAAGTCGCAGAGGGTGTTGTGAGCAAAACAAATGAAAAAAACATTTCAAATATAAAGAACGTCAGTGGTGGTAAACCCATCAGTAATTCAAAAATTCATCGCAACATGGCATTGAGTAAAACAAGAAATCCTTCCAAAAGTGCAACCCCTAAGAATCCTCCCACTAGTGAATGTACGTCTTACAATGACAGTCCGGCCCTAGATGAATTGAAAGTTGTGACAGAGTTGAATGATAAGTTTCGTCCCCGTTCCGATTCAGAATCCAGCCATGCCAGCCACTCATCATTTTGTTCTCAGTTGTCCACATCATCCGTTAAATCCTCCATTTGCCTTCCAAGTGCTGATAAAAGTGGGTTGGGTAAGACAAAAAAAACCTTGACAAGTTCGTGCTCTCGTCTGGCCGTATCCAGGAGTGAAACACAAATGCAAAAACAGCCGTCCATGCTTAGTCGCACTACATCATCCACTACAGTTAGCCGGGCAAGTAACTCTGCCCTGTCATCTGTATCAAAGATGTCACCAGACCACCAGGCTTCTCGTTTACGTTCTACGCTAGGCACGGAAAGCTTACAAAGGGCTGTGAGTACCGGTTCGTTACGAAATATGAACAGTAAGCTGAGTATACCAACAGGTCGGTCAAATCCGGCTACAACTGCAAACAAGACAAGTACTCAGCCCCTAAAACCAAAGAAAGTGACCAATTCAACTTCTGATCTTTCTACCAGTAACCGTACCGTTACCAAAAGCGGCACTAAAGTCCCTGTTCGGGAAACCACTCGGACAATTAGTACAGAAAACTTGTCGGTAAAACACCAGAATTCTTTGGGGAAAAGTTGTGAGAATCTTACTAAAAAACCCAATACTTTATTACAAGCTAGCTGTGAAAACCTTTCCTCCAAGGTCCGTAGTAATCGCTCTTCCGCCTTATCAAATCATACCACTAATCAAAAAACTAGTTTGTTGCAAAACAAAAAATCTAGTCTTTCTCGCAGCACCAGTAGCAGCAGCAGTAGTCTTGCCCAGCAGCGGGAAAAGTCCAGCAGTTGTGCATCTTTAGTAAAAGCTCAGAGACATGCTGGGTTCAAGGGTAGCACTTCATCACTTCCAACTGCTGAAAAATCGGACAATAAACGTGTAGGAAATGCTCGTCCAGGAACGGAGCGGAAAGCAACAGGAATCGGGGGTATGCAAGGAAGTAGAACTAATTTAACTGATAAATCTCAGGTGAGAAGAACTGCAAGTGTGGCAAATAAAAAAGTCACAGCTGTGTCGAATACAGCAGACTCAATTGGGAAAAAGAAGACATTGCCAAGGGCAATTCGAAATATAACTGACCAGGGAAATACAAGCACGGCAGTGACACCACCAACAAAATTTGGAATGAAAAAGACAAAAATATTAGAAAATCAATCTAATAAAGGAATAAGTAAAATACCAGATAAGGTGTCGCAAAATGAGTCCCCTGCAAAAACATCAAGTGTTAATGACAGTAATAAAACTGAGTTGAATAAGGGTCATGAAAAATTGGTAGGTAACGATATGCTTAGCACTGAAGAGCCTGTCTACAAAACCAATGAGATTTCCATTGAAAATGAAGAAAAATTAAATGAAGACAACTCTTTAACTAAAGGAAAAGTTTCTAAAAACTTTGCTTATGATGATTACATGCTCATAACAGATGCGCTGTCCTATGAAAACTTGTCTGAGCCTGATGTCTACAATGGTGACTCGGACAGAGAAGATAAAGTGAATCACATTTGTTCCCCAGACAAGGGCCTGCTCAGAAATAACCTGTCCACATCGTCACTGGACATAAGCCTCCATGAGGACTATGTTAGTGATGAGAGTGTTGTTGTCAACTCTATAACTACTAATGACCATCCTTGTCAGCAGGAACAGGAAGAATTCCTGCCAATCTATCTTGGCAAGCAGGCTACTCCTGCTTCCCATTCTTCGGCTTTTGAAGAAGATATAAGTGAAAAGAATCAAGATATAAAATGTGAATTATCGAACCATCATGTAATTAAAACTGATGATGTATTTTCAGATAAGGCTTTGAACTCTCAAGTTATTTACAAATCTAATGTCTCCACTTCTGTTTATCACCAACAGCAGCAGCAGCAGCAGCATAACAAACACCACCCCAATCCTTTAGACCCCTACCCTCATCATGATCATTCTGAAGAGTTTTGGTCTGGCCTAGAAGAAGAGAGAGAAAAGAAGCAGGGGGTAGCATGGAGAGAAGGGAAGGGTGTTTGTAGTGGTCCAGAAACAAATATTCACAGTGTTAATGACAGAAAGTGTGTTCTGGTTGTTAAGATTAAGCAGGAGGAAGTGATGGGTGGTGAAGAGGACAAAGAAGAAGAAGAAGAAGAAGAAGGTAAAGGAAAAGAGAGAGGAAAAGTTGAGAGTAAAGTGGAGGTGGTACCAGTGGTAGGTTTAAAGTCAGCTGACATTTACAGAGCAGCAGGGCCTGGGATGCCAATGTCTGAGTTTAGACCGCCCCATATTGGCCAACATCAACATCCACAGTATATCACTTCCAGGAATGAACACACAGCTACTGGTGGCTGTAACCCAGTTGGTACTGGGGGAAACATCAGTGAGGAGGTGACAGAATCCACCACTGAGACTGCTGGCACCACAGAAACTGGTGGAAAGGCTGTTGGTACCAGGCGACAACTAGGAGGAAGTTATGAAAAGCAGAACTACCCCATCCACAAGGCTGCAAATACGACGACTACGACACAACACAGAGGAGGGGACAAAACTGGTTTACTTACTCAACTTGTGGCAGGGAAAGAGGCGGACTCACTCGACTATGAGTTGCAGTCGAGGCTAGATGTAGAACCAATAGTCTCGCTAGTCGAAAGGAAGAATGTTTGTGACATCGACCCGCAAAAAATGACAGATCCATTAAGGGTCCAGTCAAAACAACTGAAATTTAGTAACTATCAAATTAAACTGACCAACTCTGTTACAGAAAATTCCTGTAATACAACAGAGGGTGACAATGCAAATGAAAATGAAAATTTGTCAAAAGAAGAGGATTTACTGATGGAGGGGCCGGCAAGTTCCGATTTAGTTACCCGAGTAAGAGGTCCGTTCTTAGCCTCAGAAATGGGTATACTCGGTGGGCAGATGCTCAGTCCATGTAGTAATGATAGCAGCAGCTTCAAAGACATGAGTGATGATGTGGTCACACCACTTAGCGATGTTCAGGGGGTTTTTGATCACGATACACAACATTCTGAAGAAGATGTGGATAGTAACTTTGAACAAAACGAGGTGGATGATGACAAACATGATGAGACACCTGGCAGTGAGGAAGAGAGTGACTCTGGAAGCGTTCTGATCGAGATAGAAGACAGTCCTCTGCAGGTGTCTGTTGGAAACGATGAAGGAGAAATTATCGTCGAAGAGCAGGATTATGCATCCGAGGAGAGAAATTACAGTGACAGTAACAGCAGTTTTGTGAGTGATATGATCATGGGGGAACGTCCCATTGTGGATGCTGGCGAAGATCTTGCAGAGGTGACGCTGGATGGTAATGAGACTCAAAACTTGTGGCTGGTAATTGAAACTGAAAGTCAATA